AGCGACTCTTCCAAACAGTGTCCTGCCCTGCTCACAGGGAGGGCAGCAGCAGCTGGGAGCCAAGGTGGAAGCTGAAAGTGATGCTATTTTGCAAAGGATTTGGTGGGAGCCTCAAATCAAGGTGATGATTACTGTGGCCCCAACCAAGTGCAGCCTTTGTTTAACTGTACTAGTGTGAGTAAGCTAATCTAAGTCACTGGGCCTGTGTGTTTAAAAGTTCTGGCTGTGTTAAAATACTTGGTGGGCCAGGGAATAATGGGTGTTTAGCACCTTGCTGGGCACAGCCTGGGACAAGCCTCGCCCTGACCCTCTGCAAAGCAGGTGTGCTCCTGCCCCACACTCCCCACAGCCCCATAATGCTGGGCTAATTCACAAATTGCCTAAATCACAGAACACGTTGCACTGAGGCAGACAAAACTAACAACAAAATTAGCAGGAGTCAGTCCAGCTGACTCTGTAAGAAGCTTCAGAGTTTCAAAATCAATCTTGAATTTACCTCTAACCTTGAAAACAAAACTAATTGCAGAATGTAGGACTCCCTGAATATGATAGGAAACTTGATAGGAATACCTAGGAAAAAACACACACACTTTGGATAAACCCCCCATTTTAATTGTATCAATTCTGCCAATTAATGATAATGGAAGAGCAGCCCAATTAGCTAAATAGCTAATAGTTTTATCAAGCAGAGGCTGGCAATTTAAAGCAAACAAATTCATTCTAATTTTATCCCCTTGCACACCAAGATGTTTAAAGGATAATGGGGGATCCAATAAAGGATATTGCTGAAATAGAGCTACATTTAAATCACCTAATGGCTTTAAGAGTTTTACCCCAATTAACAAAGAAGAAACATGAACATCATTCAGTGACTTCCAGCATAATCTTCATTAAAGAACATCTTCATTAAAAAAATAACATATCCTCCAACTAAGGGCAAAATAGAAAACATCACTGACTTTTCCCTTAAAAACAATGACTTCTCTCAAAACAAAGGCTCCTCTGTAACAGCAAAAGTATCAGAGAAAAAAGACTCTCATGTCTAAGCCTCAGTATATAAATCATCTTCAAACTGTGGTCATTAGTTTTAACATAACAGTGGATTTGAATAAAGGAGATTGACCTATCTAACATATTTAAGACCAAATCCTACTGTTACCTAAATCTGAAATAAGTTAAGGCTATTGAAGAGAATCAAAAGCCTTTTCAAAACCAATAGCCAGAACAAATTCCCCATGATCATAATTTTGAGGATAAAAAATCCATTAAAGTGATGTCTTTGATTGCTATTAATGAAGCAATCTGGAATAAATCCAGAGTGATCCATATGGATAATCGAATCTCTCATTTTCTCACATTTTACAGATTTGGGCTCTGATTTATGTGACAATGATGGGCAAAAGGCTCCTTTCCTTTTGACTCTGGGCTGCCCAGCCTGGACAGTGAATGGTACGGTCTCCAAAGGGAGCTGGAAGAACAATGAACTCGATGCTCAAAGAAAGAAGAGCTCAAATAAATCTACTTCCAGCCTCAACCATATAACCCCAAATATCTCTCCTTCATTGCAGGTCTTATGAAGGTTACTGTGGGCTGCAGAAACCACCAAAGGGCTGCTAATTAACTGGCACAAAGCTTCCTCCTTCCTCAATGTCCCCCTCATGGCTCAAAGGTGCTTGGCACTCTCACTGCCCTCCCAGGCTCAAGCAGAGACAGGGGGTGTCACCCATGGGGCAGAGGTGGCTTCCAGTAAAGCCCCAAGTAAAGTCTTTGGCTGAAGGTTAGCTGCTTTTGGGGGAAGGTAGAAAGACTTTCCCTTCATTGTTAAGCTCTTGTTTGCCCAGTCAAGCAGTAAGAGATTTAGGCTTCTCTCCCTTTTTTTTTTTTTTTTTTAAACACAATGTCATGAACTGAGACAGCGAACCCCCCTCATTCCTGGAGCTCTGGCCAGGTTGCCCTACCTAGAAGCAGGGTGGGTGCACAAGGAGCCCTGTTCTCTCTGCCACCCACAATGCCAAACCCAAAGTTTTACTGCTCTCCTTCTTTGCCCTTCTCTTTTCAGACAGACGATTCCAGCAGCTCACCCTCAGCACCAGTTTTATGGCTTCTGGATATATCCTGACAGGCAGCAGTGTCTCCCTCCCCTGCATGCCCTGCTGCCAGTCAGATCACCTCCATGAGCCAGCCTGCCTTCTTCCCTCCCCTCACCCCTCCATCTCTTCTCCCACAAGGCAGTCATCTCACCTGGTGCCTTGGTTTCTCTTACTAAGCTGACCATCCCTATTCTCATTCCCTTGGATTCGCTGAAAAATTTGCCACTCATCTCAAATTTTGAAAATTTTATCATAAGATCAGTAGTTCTAGAAAGGAATAGGAAGTTTTAATTTGTAACTTAGCTTTTTTGCTGTCTGTAAACTCTTTCTAGGGTAAATGCCCACCTCCTTCACCTTTCCCTAAAGTCAGACTTGCCTGTGGTCTGGAAGCTGTCACGTCCTGCAAAATGGTCCTGACCCCATGCCACAAGGCCAGGACTGGGCCCCCCATCTCTGAGCAGCACTGCCTCAGTCAGAATTCAATAACATACTTGTATTATATGAACTGGTAGGAAGTGATTTTTATTTGAAACCAAATTTTAGATTTCAAGCAAGAACAAAAAGTTAGATAGCAGGTCAATATGCTTTGTACAGATATCACACTATATTTTGAACTTTCACCTTCATTATCAACCTAAACTATCTTTGAGTCAAATTTAATTTCACAGGTGTAACAGCTCCTTTTCTTTCTAATTTACTGACTGCACACTGAAGGCGAAAGCCCATGGGTTCAGGTTTTTTATATACTTTTATCCAAAGCAGATGTAGGAAGGTCTTTAGAAGTCTGATCTATATGTAAGGAATAGTTACTAACAGAACCATCTGCCTCTCAAATAGATGAAATTATATATAAAACTTTCACTCTGACTTCACAACCAACTGACAATCTCTTGTTGCTCCCACTCTTGTAACTCTATTCTGCATTTAGTTGCCATTAAAAGATATGCAACTCCAACCTGGTTTCTTTTACAAGTGTTGCATCTATCATGTCAGTCAACATGGATCCACGTGTCAGAGGTGTCTCTTTGTAAAAGGATGCCCTTGGGTGATCAGGGTCAGTAAAAATTGCTGGTTTTCCTTATCATACTACAATTAGGACAGAAGTTATCTCCTTTTCAGACTCACTAAAAATGAGGTAAACATAAAAATCTAAGATCAAGAACACAAGGCTGAAAAAAATCCAACTATTCCAATATTTTATGTCTGATAATTACCAGTAATGGATGTTTAGAAGCAGAAGTGTAAGAGCAGGCCAGATACTGAAGTCTGGCCATTGTTATGTACCTGTGGCCTAGGCAATCTTGTTCAGGCTTGGGCAGCATGTGGTGAGATTACAAAAATCTGCAAGCTAGACTGGAGGCCAGTTGCTGACAATTCTTGAGGCTATATAGAGATTACTGCTTTAGAGTACAATTATTTTTTCCTACCTGCAGCTCATCTAAATGATCTTCATTGTTCTTCATTGCCCACAGCACTTTTCCTCAAACCCTTTAATCAGCTTGAATCTGAAAGGTGAAAGCAGACACTTTACCATGAGCTTTTTAGAACTTTTGCTGACACAGTAGCTCTGGACACACCTGTGAAATGTTAAGACTGTTGTTAGGAAAATTGGGAGAATTAAAGAAATTGAACCAGCAATGGCAACATCAATATTCTCTACTAGTGATGGGAGAGAGCAACCAATTCACTACCAACATATGCCCTTGCAGATGGGTGTTTCTAAGAGCAAAAGTGCTAAGCCTTGGCATTTGCAGGATGGTGTGAAGATTGTGGAGCAGGCTTCAGGAAGCTTACCAGTCCCAGCTGGAGTACACTTAGACAAGTATTTGGGAGATTCATTAATGAAATCTGACCTGGAAGCACAGCATCTTTCATCTGTATAGAGGCAGCAAGTGAGATGGAAGGAGCATTTGGGGTGGAGTGATTCAGCCTGCTGAGCCCACCTGTCATGGCTCTGACAGGGAAGAACTTTTCCTTCATGAAGTAAAGCTATCAAAAGTTAAGAGGATTTCTTTGCAGCTGGACAGGGTAAAAGAAGGGATATGTGAAATTTTCTTCTCAGGGTTGTTAAGAGTCTCTACTGACAAAACTAATGTAGCAAATTGTAGCCTTAGTATGTTTTTAATAAACCAATGCCACTAGTCAGCTCTGGGATACAGATTGAAAAATACAAAAGCAGTTATGAATTCCATTAGCTTTTTTGAAACCAAAGGAATTTTACCACCAGAAAATAAATACTGCTGCTAGTTACAGCAATCCAATTCCAGTAAAGCTGACAGAACAGCTACAGAATTACTAGTACTAAAGCAAACAGAACTACTACTACTTCAGGTACAGGAAGAATCTGCTCCAAGCCCCTGGAATGCATGTTAGGCTGTGATGAATAGATATAACTACAGAAATAACTATTTCACTGTGTTGAGTACGAGCAAGGAAGAGAGAGAAACCTAATTTATGATGTTCTACCCCTTAAAAAGAAACCTGAACACACAGCTTATAGTTATAATTAAATGTGTTACCTGAAGAACAGTTGCACACACTCATTTACATAGGATTTGGTATACATCTGTGCTCTTCAATAGATTATTCCAAACCTTGAGTATTTCCTATAATTAATGTCAATATGCTTGGCTTATTTGTTATAAAAGAGAAGAGTTTCTAATTAGCCTTTTTGATGTGCAAAATTTCAGTATTTCTCTCTAGTGTTTTTCAGATCATGTTTCTTATTTTATACTACTAAGTGATAGTAAGACTTAAATAAATTCTAAAGATGGTTTAAATTGCATGTATGCGATAACAAGGCCTTGTCCCGGCACTCACCATGTGGTGAGGTCCTCCTGCTATGAACAATGTCAGAAGTCCACATAATACCAACTGGCCTTGTGACAAGTCAAACATTCCAAATTCCAATTAAATTCAACCAACACTTTGCATATTTCCCTTTATTATAGTGACATACACAATTTACCTTTAAACTCAAGCAAACTCTACTTGCCTTCACTGAACCTCAGGAGAGTCTTTGGGAAGAACAAAACCTTCACAGCAGTGCCATTCAGAGGCTTATCACAACACACCAGGGACACAAGTAAATCTCAAGCAGTAGCAAAGAGTACAACTGTAGTGAGCTGCCTTGATGTAGCAATAAAGAAGGTCGAGGTGAGCATTTTTTTTACACCAGTCAACCCTGCAGATAGACCAGACAAATTAAGAAATTTTTGCCAAGCCAAAGGATAGATTCTATCAGCAGCAAATAACAGGAGGGTGGAAAGTGTGCAGACTCCTATCACTTACCTCTCTCTTTCTTGGGAGCAACTTAGCACTGAATTTACATTTAAGTAAAACCACAGCACAAGATTGACTGGATGCCTATTGGAAGCAATTGGAATATTTTCTTTTTACTTTGAGTCTTGGATTAAACTAAATGAGAACAGAGCAAGGCCTGGTCTGTGGAGGCATACAGAAAAAAAAAATTGTGCTTCTCTATTAAATTGGACATCCAAAGCGCTTTATTGAATGCTGAAACGAGATGTGAAATTCCATGATAAGCTCATGTTTTCTTTCCTGTGCAGCTTTCATTTAACACAAAGAGGCTTATTTTGCATCATGGGGCCCTTGATCCTGAGCATTAAATATAATAGTTTCCCTAGAAGCTTTATAGCCTTGGCAAGACAGTAGAGATTGGCCTTGTTTGTTGATTTGTTAATTCAAACAAGAATAGCACATTTCTAAAACTTTGGCCAAATTAACATCTTTTTGACTGTTCCAATGAGCTAATATCGCAGCAGAAACCTGGAAGCAGTAGTCAAGTCTTTGATGATTTATTTAGTAGGAGTCATCTTGTAGCTAATTGTCTGCAATTTTTAACCTCATTCATGTGCACCGCTGATTCTTCTTCCAGCATCTGCAGTTTTCTCCTCAAGCTTTCTTACATCTCTGTATGTATCATTTCCAGATGGCAACTCAACTTCATCACAGTATTTTTATGAACTTGCCAAACCACATCCAAGGTCTTCAGACTCAAAAGCAAAAGATAAAATCATCCTCAGAGGGCACCTCACCCTTCTGCAGCCAGGCACATGAAAAAAGCAGAGCTTTAGGCTCTGACATTTTACCTTAATGATGAGTCACAGCATAGGGTTCTTTGGTTTGTTGTTTTTTTTTTTTGGTGTTGGAATTTTCACCTTTCCATTCTTCTGTATTTCTCTATTTTGAAACAATATCAAAAGAGAGTAAATACTGGTGTGCCATGTTTTCTGTTTATACTGCATAAGTTACCATCTCTGTAGTGCTGGCCCCAGTGACATGCATACCTGTCAGTCACTGCCGCTGTACCACAGGTAGAATGAGGGATGTCCAAGCAGGGAGGTTTTGGCTGGGAGTGCAGCAGATTTTCACACCACATTCACAGTAAATCTTAGCAGAGATCAGAATTAACTCAAATGCTCAAGACATTTGATGGCTGTAACATAGGTCTTCCTGGCTAGATTCAAAGAATCTGACTCACTGTGTGGATCTGCTTTCACCATGGTTTAAGGATTGTCCTGATGTCTGGTAAGTCATAAAAATATAACAGTTCTAGTCACATTTCTGGTTAATCTCATGTGATTCTCATGAGATGGAAATTCCTTCCTGTTGGTTCTCTGCCTTCAATTATTCCAGTGCATGACTCAGCAATTATCATGTGTTTTGGGGTGGTTTTATGGCATGAGTGAATGAAGGGCTCTTTATGCCTGGTTTCTGTCTCCTATTTGTATGTTTATGAAGACGACTGAGTCCCTCGGAAGATGGAAGATACTGTATTTGGGCAATATTATTACCATCACCTACTATGATCCATGCCTGTGGGAAGATATTATTTTTAAAAATAACAAGTTCCATTTTACTAATGTAGCTATTGTATAAATGTAAAATATAATTACAGCATCTACCCAGGGTGTATGTTGTTGTGTAATTTTATAATACTACATCTAGATGACTGTTGGCATTCTACCTATGTACTTAACCACACCCAGGAATGCTGGTATTGCAGAATTACACACATCCTGTCGACTAATTACATAATGATTAGTATTTTTAGCATTCAAAGATTTACTCAAGTCAGTTGAGCAAGATTTTATGTCACTGCAAATTAAGACAAAGAATAGCAAATATATCTAGTAAACAATGCTGTCCAGATAGCTTACTGAGCCTGGACAGAGTTTCCAGCAAAGAGCATGTAGTACTTTATTTTAAAATGTATGACATTTTCTACATGTTTGGCAAAAAAACCCTCTCCCCTTACTTTGAATTATACCTTTTTTAAAAAACTGCTGAAGTAATTTTGTATTCAAAATAATTAGAATTTCTGTAGTCTGCCTCCTTCTGAGTTATTATCACTTATCATGACCAAAGATAATTTTTGGCTGAAAAGCCACTGTGATGTGCCTAGGGAAAGAAGATTGTTCTTTACAATGGCAACTCTGGAAGGAGTCTGGAAAATGCACTTTTAGTTAGCAATTAGTTACAAAATATCCCAAATACTGTTGTTTTAAGAAAGCACTACTGATTAGCCCTTGCCACTTGGATCTGGAACAGATTTTCCATAAGCCTGAGTGGAGTGTCTTGATTTGGTCTCTTGGTTCTCATGATGTTGATGAGAGACTGGATGAAAAGTCTGCCTCACCATTTGGATTTGGGGGATTTAAGATCAGAGACCTTTTGTTGCAATCTTGTCTTACATATGCTTAAAAAAATGTTTGTGTAATGTAACTTCTAAACTTATTGTTAATCTTAATTCAGTCAAAATTTACAGAAGGTGACACAGAGGCCAAGCCCTGGGCCTTGCCTAGGGCATAGTTTGATTAGCTGCAATGCACCAAGTGGATTGATCATGTTTCAGAGTGCTTCTGGCCTGTCATTGCTAGTTTCCCTGGAACCCTCAGTTGTGCACATAGGCCTTTATGGCGAGAAAGATGGAAAATATGGACTATGTTCCCACCTCCAACTGTGTTTGTGAGGCAAAAGAGCTAAAGATATCTTGCACATAGCCTCATTTTTTTTCTCTTCATGAATTTGATTTCTAACTTGTCAGTTACTGAGGCAGCAAATGATTTTCAAGACCTTGAAAACAAACCACTCCCAAGGAGCTTATGTTTGGGCTGTTTCTCTTTTCACAGGGCAAAAGGTTATAGTGCAAAAGCAGCTTCTTTCAGCTACTCTGAAGAGTAAATTTTTCCTGCCCTAGCAAGTTAAAAATTGGTATTTTAGTCTGAACATTTTCCCTTGCCAGGCAGTTACTTTTTAGTGAAGTAACACTTCTATGAAAGCAAAGTGGGGCTGTTTGGAAGGAGAGAGATGTGAGACTCCTGAAATAAATGACACTGTTCAGTTTAGGACACGTACAAAGTGCTTCATAACTGCCCCTTAAGCCTTAGCAACCCTCTACCCCAAATCTCAGCAATAAAGTCAGGACACTACTGCACTTTGCTGCTGGCAGACACTTAAAAAGAGGCCAGATTTCTGAATTTGTAATTGTGACTCCTGTTATTTCTGAAGGCTTTTATTTTATGTTCACTGCTTTCTTGCCTAGGGTGCTTCACCCATGGTTGGTAGACAAGAAATATCAGAGGGACAGGGTAACCATTCTCACTTGTTTACCTTGGTCACCACTTGCAAGCAAAGAGCAACCTGATTTTCCAATGAGAACCAGTGTTTCCTCTGAGAGCAGTTGCTTGAAAAACTGTTCTTCAAACATAAGGCCACAGTTTACATGATTTGTCAAATCCCTCTTTTCCCTTCTTTTCTAAAGAAAAACAAAACCACAGTGAATCTACACACCTTGCTATGTCCCTCCAACAGAAATTCAGTGGCTCCTCTGCATATATCATGAGCAGTATTTCATTATTGAAAATAGTCCATAACAAAAAATCGTACCTGGCCAGCAACATAAGACCAGCTTGCTTCCTGATGTGATTTTAAATGGCTGAGATATTAAACACTGAAAAACAGGGTTTATAATGGAAGTACTGACAGACTATTAACTATAGCAGTGCTGCTCTAATAAATGAAATAGCCTGTCATAATCTCTAATTCATAAATATGCAAATACAAGGCAGAGGATTTGCTCCAAAGGATGTCTCTATAATTTTAACTGACCTTTACTGATACTAAATGAGCCTGTTGCTTCTGGTTTTGTGCACTGAATAGAAAGTACAGGGAATCCTGTCTCTTTACATCCAAGGCCTACTTCAGATCCCATAAGTGCCAAAGGCAACACCCTTGCTACCTTCAACAGGAAAAATCTGGTCCCAGAACATCTAGAATGTGAGACACCTGGCATTAAACTGAACTCCTGACTGTACTTGAATTTAATTCTGTTCTCATCTGTGTTAATTATTATTACATTAATTCTTCTGTTTGGGAGAAATTAAGCACACATTTGCCCCATGTGTCAAAGAGCTTGACCTGCCAAAAGGCACTTACTTGCTCAGTGATAAACAGACTATCAACACAATGATATAAATGTTGAATTTTAGCCAGTTTCCTGTTCTGCACCAAATGGAAGTAAATCCACTGACTTAATATTTAATAACCTAAATGTAATTTCTTTTTTCTGCCTCACATTGCACAGTAAAGAATTGGATGGCTAGCAGTTTTGCAAATTCCCAACCCCTAATTATTTTAAGCTATTCATCCTGGTATCTGTCCATTGATGCTCAGCCAAATTGCCAGCAGGGGAGAGATCTGTCCAATCCAGGAGCTAAATGAGTCACTGAGAGTCAATCTGTTTTTTTCCCTTGCTGCTGGGATTTCCTTGGGTCCTGGCCTCTCTCTGCTCCAATCACACAGACACAGCTCCAGGCGTGGGTCCTCTTTGGCTTCAGCTGCCTCCTGTCTCCCGTGTCTGCTCTGCTCATCACAGCTGTTGATGGGTTCTCACCGGCTGGCCACAGAAGACCAATACTTCCACCACACTGCTCTTACAGCTCTTGCTCTGAAGGAAAATAAAGACATCTTGGCCTTGTTGAATTTGCTGATGAAGTAATACATCAGGTATCTAGACAGAAAGCAAACCACATGAATAAAATGTGTCATCTGGGTTAGATACTAATTTATTTGCCTTAAGTTCTGGGAACAATATCTGCAGATTTTTTTCCAGAGAATTCAGTTAAGTTCCATAGAAACTGAATACTAATATGATTTCTGTAGCATGGAAGACAAATAGGAAACAGAGAAAAAATAGACTCATCAGAAATATTAGCTGCTCACTATCAAAATATCTGACAATGCCACAAGTACAATTTATAAACAGGAACATTTAGAGCCTAACTTTTCACTAAAGAGCAAATTCCCTGCTTTGTCCCTTTTAGGAACAGGATTCAATTACACAAAAATATGCAGCAGACTTAAGGACTGCATGTAAGATTAAGATAACTGGTATTTCATGGTAAATGATTAAATTAGCTGACACAGTTTTATCCTGAACTTTGCCATTAAAACTGACATTTTTGTGCCACGCACATTGTAGGCTGCTGTTAATCTAAACTGCCTTTCTTCTTTCAAAGACTTTAAATAGCTGAAGAACTCTTGTTCTTTACTCTATTTGCAAATGTCTGGAAAATATATCTACAATATAAGAAGGTGAACTAAGCACAGGACTTTTTTTTTCCCCTCATCTAACAAATACCTTGAGAAATCAGCAAGGAGGTTCCAAATGTCCAGATTAAGCTCTGCAACATGCACTTTAATCAAGTAATTTATGCAACTCTACAGAGATGAGAACATGCTGTCCTCCTCATGGTGAGTGAAAATCGAGAAATGACAGAAGTTTCTTACTAAGAATTTAATTATTCCTAGTATACAATTTTAAACCACTCTATGTTTATTTCTCTTCTTTTCAGGCTGGCTTTTTTATGAAGGGAGAAATTATGGGAATAATTTTGATATAAACCAGATGTAGAAGTGTATGAATCAATTGTAGTCAGAGATGGTTGTAATCATTGCCCTTCCATTGAGTTAGCTGGGAAGGACCAACTCACCAGCTCCTTGGTGAAGATACTCGGTCCTCAAGCAAAGTGCAGGCACGTGTCACTGCACACAGCAAAGACAAGGCCAGTCTGATCAGAGACATGAACTATGAGAGAAGCACAGTTCCTGAATATTACTGAGAGACCACCAGACTGGGTGGGAAGAAAAGCCAGAGTCACTGCAGAAATGAAGAGAGGTGGCAGGACATGCAGCCAGGGCATCCCTATGAGAGGCCAAGGGTGAGCATAAGGAATGGGCTCTGGCTGAAAGAGGTCTCATGGGCAACTGGATGAACTTATTTTTATAGCTGTTTGACTTGTCCAGTGATCAGAAAAACAGATCTTTGTCCTTTTTTGTAGATACATAGTTACACTTTCTCCTCATAATTAGTGCAACCTAGAATACCTCAAATTTTTAGCCAGCCGTGACGTTCAAAAGAAGTAGCTCTAACAATACAAAAGCACAGGGACTAAGATACTAGTCCAGAACAGCAGTTCAGCATGTCCAGTCTTTCAGAAACAGGAATGACAATTATTACAGACTACCTAAATGGGACACTTAATTCCCCACCCACAGGCTCCAAAAGTTGAAATTTTATGACAAAGTTTTATGATGAAGTCATGCATGCATGACATGCATTCTTTCTGTGCACTAGCACAAAGATAAAAGTCTCCAAACATTGATGGTAGTATTTAAAGAGATAAAGACCTGTCTCTTTATATGAACTCTGTACTAGTAACCAAGATCTCTGCTGGAAAAGGTATGGAAGCTCAAGAGACACAAAAAAAAAAGTGATTTTTATTCCAGAAAAGAATTTGGCCCTTTAATCTTAGTGTAGATTTATCAGAGGTGTGTGCATAACAGGAAAGCTATGTAATTTTACTGTTGCAAAATTTTTAGATACCTTGTTATCCATGAATGGTTGAGCAAGACTTTGGACTCTTTATATCTTGGATCAGTTCTAATAAAGAAAATGAAGAAGCACAGCTTTTTACACAGCACCTTCCCCAGCAGTTAAAAAATGCAGTTTATACAGCACCCATACAATCACGCCATTATCAAAAAAGCATGACTTTCATCCCTGAAACTCATGATGGTCATGAAGTCAAAGAAAGGCCCACAAAGACAGTTTCATTGTTTGAGAACTCATGCAAATGTTAAACATGAATGAAACTCAATTCGATTATCAAAAAATTGAACCTGTATGATGATCTCACAAGCTATGTTATTCAATTAAAACTTCTCATCTCTCCTACATATTTTTTTGTCTTTTGAAAGATACAGCTACCTTTACTTTCTCTTTTTATGTTTTAAACTTTGAAAACCTTTCACAGCAGAGGTTACATGAATCATCTAGCTTTCTTATTCCAAAATGTTTCACTGATCATTCATTATTAACTGAGTAAAATGAAGGTAGCTATGATAAATTTTGGTCTGTCTCAAAGTATTAGAAAGGATATGAAAACATCTTATTCATAGTGCTAACTTTTAGATGACATATGACAGTACAGGACCAGTTTTTTCACGGTCACATACAATGAGGCTCTTAACAACCCAATCACTTGGTATCACTTTTTTTCCCAATTCCTAGGCACTAACAGTTTCAACCTGCTCTGCCACTTAGCAGAAACACATTCAAACAATATAGCCATGAAAGGACTGGATGTGGGTAACAGGAAGCCTATCAATATCAGAGATTAGGATCATAAAAATTGTCTAGTTCTTCTTGTAATTAATGTACATTCTCTTAACAGTTCTACATACATCTATGCCTTAATGTGAATGCTCTGTAGAGGAAATAAGAAGTTTTGTGGCTGCTCTTAGATCTGGAGTGATGTCTTTCAAAACATTTCAGTAACTGGTGCTCTTTTATTAAATATACTGCAATATAACTGTATACAAAACTTGAAATTCTCCTTTTCAAGTGGCTGAACACAGAAATGAAACACAACCTAGAGAGGAGCCATGTTAACTCAGAAAAAAAAAAATAAGGAAGTGGCTTATTTTAGTGAGTCAAGATCCTGGATACAACTTGCTGCTTGTCATTTGGCTATCTAGACAGATGGACTAGACTGAAGTCAGTGGGGCTGCTTGTGATGTACTGCACAACTGAACATATTTGGGAAAAGCTGTTATACTAATTTACTCATTTATATATGTCATTGTTTCTCTACAGCCACAACTCATCTTGGATTCTCCACAACCAGAGAGGGTCAGGCCTATATATAAGAGAAGCAGACAGAAGTTGTGCAAAGCTGGACATGGACTTAATAAGAGCTTGATTCTGTACCAATGAAATTAACAGGAGTTTGGCTCTTGTTTGCAATGGGAGGTGGATCAACATTTTGTGCCAGCTGTTCCCTGCTGGGTAGGGATAATCCCTTTGAAACAAAATATTTAACTTGTTCTCACTCTGTTGTTGTAAGAAGGCTTCACATGAAAATGCTTTCATGAGAATTAAAAGGTGCATCCCATTTTTTTTCCAAATACCACCCCCTACCTCATAGTATATAGTTGCTGATCAAAAAAAAAAAACCAAAACCCCAATCCCTCCACTTGCTATTAAACCACATGAGTTTACAAAAAGTGCCACGAAAATGAGTTACAGGATGGAACTGAGTCACCTGTCTGTTCTGCTGGCCATGACAGCACTTGCACTTCCCTCAGCCAGGAGATGCAGCAAGGAAACATGTTAATTCAAACAGCTGCAATTGAAGTGGGATCCCATGGGCAGAAGTAAAATAACTGAGGTCCCTGCAGGCAAATAGAAAATGATTAAAAAATCCAAATTTCCAACAGTCATGAAGGGAGTAATGAATAACAGTGTGGGGAAAGGATCAGAGAAATGGGAGCTGAGGAAGGACAGTATTAACAATAAAATCTTGTACATGTGTCCTCCAGTCTGGATCTGAGTACAGTATTTAGTCTCAGTTGCTGTTTCTGTGTTTTGTTTTCATGTTTTACAGCAACAATGAGGTTCTAAAACATTGCTGATGCCCAGGTTGCTCTACAGATCAGCAGCAACAATGGCTCCTTCTCGTCACTGCATGTGTTGGTCAAGTTCAAAAAGAATGTGAAAGTTGGGCCCATTTACACTGGCTCTCAGTTTGGTTCATTCCTTCTCACACCTCTGGCTGAGGTCCATTTGGCCGATGAACCTGGAACATAAAGTCTCCTAGGTATTATAAAACAATTATTTAATTTTAAAAGTCTCTTTCATTGCATCCTAATAGGATTTCCATAAAATACAGAATTCTCCACAATATCCAGGGAACTTTTGTTTACACCATAAACTATGATACTTTTTGAAGAGATCTGGAAGATTTACAGAGAGGAAACTTCCAGAGACAGAGTTGTCTGGCCTGGCATCCAGGGACTGAGCCTACTGTAGAGTTACATCCTCCAGAAGCAGGAAACGTATGGAATCATTTGAGCTTAAGAGACTGTGACATTTTTATAGAATGAAAGGAGTAACAGAGATACAGTGACAGAGCTGGGAGCTGCAGCTGGCTGGCTGTTCCATGGAGCATTCCCCTCATAGATTTTTATGACTCTCCTAGCCCTAATATTAAACACTTGACCTTTATATCAAATACTATTTTATATTACTAGGTTGGATGATTAGTTACTAAATATACCATCTATAGTAAATAGGAAATTGTGTAGTCTGATGCTTTTAGTCTTAGACCTTTCAGGTATTGGTCCTTTGGCATTTAACATTACAACATTGAGTGCTCTTATATTAACTTAAGTCCTTTGGTAAGCAAGAAGTGCACAGCACTTTCACATAGGGCAGAGGAGTTTCTGAGGTGGAATTACCAGAGTGGAGAATGCTGTAAACATTGTAAAGTCAGGGATAACTAGGAGCCAGCTGTTGCTGAACAATGCACCTTAATCTACAGCCTAGGAATAAGTGCATTTACTTTTTAAAATTCTGCAAACCAGAACTTTGCAAATGCCTCTTCCCTGTGCCTCTCTCCCTGGTGAACTATTCTATCCATCCCCTCCCTTATCACATGCAAAATAGTA